CTAAAAGTTAAGGGTATAAAAACTAAAAGTTAAGGGTATAAAAACTAAAAGTTAAGGGTATAAAAACTAAAAGTTAAGGGTATAAAAACTAAAAGTTCAGGGTATAAAAACTAAAAGTTAAGGGTATAAAAACTAAAAGTTAAGGGTATAAAAACTAAAAGTTAAGGGTATAAAAAACTAAAAGTTAAGGGTATAAAAACTAAAAGTTAAGGGTATAGAAACTAAAAGTTCAGGGTATAAAAACTAAAAGTTAAGGGTATAAAAGCTAAAAGTTAAGGGTATAAAAACTAAAAGTTAAGGGTATAAAAGCTAAAAGTTAAGGGTATAAAACCAAAAGTTAAGGGTATACGTAGGCTCTAAAGAGACCCGTCAAAAACGCCTAAGAAATAATCCTTGAGCCTTCCCTGGTTACAATGGCAAAATCTGACTGAATGGCAAAATCCGCCCGAGGTCTAATTTTCAGCCCGAGGATCTAAAAGGATCCTTTTAGCAAAAGGCTTAAAATTTAGCCCGAAAGATGGTGCTAGGTATAATGAGCAGAACCATATTGGGCACAAGGCAAACACAAATGAAAAAAGGGCAGTTCTATCAATTTCTGGCTTGCCACCGCTTAAAGACCAAGCTGCGACCACTGGATCCTGGATTGTTTGAGGATCCAGGTTACTTTCAAACTCCCAGAAGCGGCTGAACTTTTCGATCAGATATCTTGCATTATCCTGCCATACCGAAGGCTGCCCGAAAGCAACAGAAGCAGCAGGAGGAGAGTGAGGAGGAGGATGAGGAAGAACAGGACGAGCCTTCTACAAAGGCTGCCCCAGCTGAGCAAGAGTCGGATGATGAAGAAGTAGACAAGCCTGCAGCAAAGGCTGCCCGAAAGCAACAGAAGCAGCAGGAGGAAAGTGAGGAGGAGGACGAGGAAGAACAGGACGAGCCTTCTACAAAGGCTGCCCGAAAGCAACAGAAGCAGCAGGAGGAGAGTGAGGAGGAGGATGAGGAAGAACAGGACGAGCCTTCTACAAAGGCTGCCCCAGCTGAGCAAGAGTCGGATGATGAAGAAGTAGACAAGCCTGCAGCAAAGGCTGCCCGAAAGCAACAGAAGCAGCAGGAGGAAAGTGAGGAGGAGGACGAAGAAGAACAGGGCGAGCCTTCTACAAAGGCTGCCCGAAAGCAACAGAAGCAGCACGAGGAGAGTGAGGAGGAGGACAAGGAAGAACTCGACGAGCCTCCTGCAAAGGCTGCCCCAGCTGAGCAAGAGTCAGATGATGAAGAAGTAGACAGACCTGCAGCAAAGGCTGCCCGAAAGCAACAGAAGCAGCAGGAGGAAAGTGAGGAGGAGGAGGAGGACGAAGAAGAACAGGACGAGCCTTCTACAGAGGTTGCCCGAAAGCAACAGCAGCAGCACGAGGAGAGTGAGGAGGAGGACGAGGAAGAACAGGACGAGCCTTCTACAAAGGCTGCCCGAAAGCAACAGAAGCAGCACGAGGAGAGTGAGGAGGAGAATGAGGAAGAACAGGACGAGCCTTCTACAAAGGCTGCCCCAGCTGAGCAAGAGTCGGATGATGAAGAAGTAGACAAGCCTGCAGCAAAGGCTGCCCGAAAGCAACAGAAGCAGCAGGAGGAAAGTGAGGAGGAGGACGAAGAAGAACAGGGCGAGCCTTCTACAAAGGCTGCCCGAAAGCAACAGAAGCAGCACGAGGAGAGTGAGGAGGAGGACGAGGAAGAACTCGACGAGCCTCCTGCAAAGGCTGCCCCAGCTGAGCAAGAGTCAGATGATGAAGAAGTAGACAAACCTGCAGCAAAGGCTGCCCGAAAGCAACAGAAGCAGCAGGAGGAAAGTGAGGAGGAGGACGAAGAAGAACAGGACGAGCCTTCTACAAAGGCTGCCCGAAAGCAACAGAAGCAGCAGGAGGAGAGTGAGGAGGAGGATGAGGAAGAACAGGACGAGCCTTCTACAAAGGCTGCCCCAGCTGAGCAAGAGTCGGATGATGAAGAAGTAGACAAGCCTGCAGCAAAGGCTGCCCGAAAGCAACAGAAGCAGCAGGAGGAAAGTGAGGAGGAGGACGAAGAAGAACAGGACGAGCCTTCTACAAAGGCTGCCCGAAAGCAACAGAAGCAGCACGAGGAGAGTGAGGAGGAGGACGAGGAAGAACTCGACGAGCCTCCTGCAAAGGCTGCCCCAGCTGAGCAAGAGTCGGATGATGAAGAAGTAGACAAGCCTGCAGCAAAGGCTGCCCGAAAGCAACAGAAGCAGCAGGAGGAAAGTGAGGAGGAGGACGAGGAAGAACAGGACGAGCCTCCTGCAAAGGCTGCCCCAGCTGAGCAAGAGTCGGATGATGAAGAAGAAGACAAACCTGCAGCAAAGGCTGCCCGAAAGCAGCAGAAGCAGCAGGAGGAGAGTGAGGAGGAGGAGGACGAGAAAGCGGCCCCAGCTGAGCAAGAGTCGGATGAGGAAGAAGTACACAAACCTGCAGCAAAGGCTGCCCGAAAGCAACAGAAGCAGCACGAGGAGAGTGAGGAGGAGGACTTTACAAAGCCTGCTCGAAAGCAACAAAGGCAGCAGGAGGAGAGTGAGGAGGAGGATGAGGAAGAACAGGACGAGCCTTCTACAAAGGCTGCCCGAAAGCAACAGAAGCAGCAGGAGGAGAGTGAAGAGGAGGACGATGAAGAACAGGACGAGCCTGCTGCAATGGCTGCCCCAGCTGAGCAAGAGTCAAGTCAGCTGGGTTTGATTTTGTTTTTAGTGATGTCACGATGTCCGTGCTTCTGCAAAGAAGCACTTTTTTTTTTTGAGTTCTACGGTTGAATCACCAACCAGGTACTCCCGCTGAACTCTCTTCACCCCTTGGAATCCTGGAAACTAGGGTTCAAAACATCTTCCCCCTCCAAGATTCCTATCCAGGGAACTAAATGTAGCTCCCTGCTTAATGGTGCCAAAATGTCTGTAGGAATTGATAACGTGGTACTCCACAGGGCATAAAGCATCATAAAGCTATGGTATGAAATTCCTTTGTTGCCATCTCTGAGCATCTTTGCAAAAGCTGCCCGAAAGCAACAGAAGCAGCAGGAGGAGAGTGAAGAGGAGGACGATGAAGAACAGGACGAGCCTCCTGCAAAGGCTGCCCCAGCTGAGCAAGAGTCAAGTCAGCTGGTTTTGGTTTTGTTTTTAGTGATGTCACGATGTCCGTGCTTCTGCAAAGAAGCACTTTTTGTTTTCGGGATCTATGGTTGAATCACCAACCAGGTACTCCCGCTGAACTCTCTTCACCCCTTGGAATCCTGGAAACTAGGGTTCAAAACATCTTCCCCCTCCAAGATTCCTATCCAGGGAACTAAATGTAGCTCCCCGCTTAATGGTGCCAAAAATGTCTGTAGGAATTGATAATGTGGTACTCCTCAGGGAATAAAGCTATGGTAGGAAATCTTGTGCTGCCATCTCTGAGCATTTGGCCCGACCGTTGCTGCAGCAAAGCAGACTGTACAGGAGACAAGGGATGGAGGAGAAGAAGAAAGCTCTAGCTCAGAAGAAATTGACCCTGAGGCAGGGTTGCAACATGGTTTCACAATAATAATCCTAATCCTTATAATCATAATACAAATAATGCACGTCCTTTCCTATGTTTAATTTAATATCATTATTTTTTAAGGGAATACCTGTAATTTTTCTTTGGAAACAACCAATTATCATTTAAGTTGAACTGCATTTACAATCACTATCGAAACAACAAAATATCATATTGATCCATATTGATCCACTAGATGCTTTGTCATTTTCACCCTAGTCTTGAGGCCGCACTTTCGACTGCGCCATTGAAATGTCACCCCTGCAAGGTTCTGGCAAAGCACCAGGCTCAAATGCGGGAGCGGATGGCTGCCTCCAGATCCGAAGACGACCCAAGCAGCGAGGATGATGCGGTACTTCCGCCAGAGCAACGGAGAAATCCATTCCACCACAAGGTGCCCCTTGGTCTGGGTCCGGGTCAAGAGTGGAAGTCCTCCAAAAAGGCCAATTTCAGATTCAGATATCAGATGATTTTGGCCCTTGTTGGTATACGCAGAAATTACTCTCATCCCAAGTTCTTTTCACGAATACCCATGAATACCCAAGTTACAAGTTTGACCTGTTTCATGCCTGGTTCCATCCTGTTGTTTGACCATTTTTGCCCAGTCCTTTCCCCGTTCCCACATCGGAAGGCTCTGGTAGACAGCATTGGCTACTACAGCCGAGACGAGGCTCCTGCGTAAGGGCTAACGACGAAATACGATGATACCAAAAGACTTGACCATTAGGAATGCTGGGTTAACGGGATATTTCTCCAATATATCAGTAACACATAGTACCATTCTAATATCCAATTTGGGTCTGTCTGCAATTGGGGACCCCAAATGTATCCAGGGCCGTGTTGTTTAAAATGAGGAGAATGATGATGATCCATTGGCCTCATTTTCGAATAAACCCATATTTTTTCTTGCTGATTTTCGGACAAACTCGATCTTTTCAACTGCAAGCTGTGTTTGAAAAGTTTGACTGCCAAAGTGCATATAGGTGCATATAGGTGCGTCCAAAAAAGGGAAATTAATGCCAGCTTTTGACAGTTGTGACAGGGAACATATGGGAACATGATGTTCTAAACCATGGGACCCATGGGATTTTGGGATATTTTGGGGGTCCAGTTGGGACTGGCGCACATGGCAACTGTTTGCAGGCCTTTGACATTTGTGAAATGTGGAGATCGTCTCTTGGCGGATTCTGCTGGGGATAGCTACGGAAGCCATGGCCCATTCATAGATGGTTTATGAATGTTTATGATGGCTTACAAGTGCCGATAGTACCTATAGGATTCTGGTGATATTCCCTAGCTTTGTTACTTAACAAGACGGTAGTGGGTTCAGCAGGTTCACGGAAGCTGCCCATTCCAAGCAGCACAGAGGGAAACGATGCAGGCCAAGTCACCATTTCAAGTGACAATCTAAAACTACCCGGCCTGGTAAACGTTTACATAACTATATTGTAAATCACCATTTTTCATGGGAAAACTCACTATAAATAGCAATTTTCAATAGCAAACTGTTAGTTTACCAGGCCAGGTATCTAAAACTTGAGCCATAGAAACGAAGATGCAGAAATCCAAAGGTTCAACAGTTCATAACCGCACTTCTGATGTGTTCTTTTGCTCCACCTAAAGTGTTTCAATTGTATTCAGTTGTCACAAACCTGCATTGAATCAGGCCCACCCCAAGCTCACAAGTGTGCGAAAGATTCCTTTTTCATCAATTTTAGCCCCACAATTTGCATCAATTTGCCATGACCGGCACGCAGAAACTTGATACTGAATCATATTGACAGGAGAGGTCCAGGCAATAAGACATTTTTCCAAGCATGGACCTGTCAATTGTCGCCGCAGCATCCGGCATCCTGAGGGATATGGTTGAAGACATCAAAAGGGTGAAGAGGGAGAGAGGACAGGAACAGGCCAGGCGATAGCTTCAGCTGGATCATTGAAATCGGCCAGAGTTTTTCTATGTTTTTCTGGTCAGAAGTCGTACGAATCCCATGCCATAAGCTACCATTTGGGGATGGATGTTTTATACAACCCACAAAAAATGTGATTTTGGGGATTGTTTACTGTTGGGTGACCCATAGTTGATTGGTCATTTTTACAGTGAAACCATCCCATTTGGCGGTGGTGAATTTTGACGCATCGGAATTGGCGAAAACGACAGAGAGCGCACTGTGCTTTTTTCTAAAAAAAAATCCTGCATCAAGATAGGCGCATGAAATGGATCAGCTAGTGACTAGAAATAGCGACATCATCAAACACAAACTGCAGTCTCAAGTGACCTGAAGTGACAAGCTGACAACCTGACAACCTCAAGTGACCTGACCTGACAACCTGACAATTGATTTCAATTTACTTTCAATTGATTTCAATTTACTTTCAATTGATTTCAATTTACTTTCGATTGATTTCAATTTACTTCTAACTGATTTCAATGTACTTTCACTTTACTTTCAATTGATTTCAAATTTATTTCAATTGGTTTCAAATTACTTTCAATTGATTTCAATTTACTTTCAATTGATTTCAATTTACTTTCAGTTTACTTTCAATTGATTTCAATTTATTTCAATTTACTTTCAATTGAACTTTCAATTGATTTCAATTGATTTCAATTTACTTTCAATTGATTTCAATTTCCTTTCAATTGATTTCAACTTACTTTTAATTGACATCCCATAGTAATCCCATAGAAAGATCATAGAAATATCATGAAAATCCCATAGGAATCCCACAGAAATCCCATAGAAGATCATAGAAATAACATGGAATAGCATAGGAACCACAAAGAAATCCCATGAGAATTCCAATAATATTCCCATAGAAATATCATAGAAACATCATGGAAATACCTTGGAAATCCCACAGGAATCCAATAGAAACCCCATAGAAATATCATAGAAACATCATAGAAATACCATAGAAATCCCATAGGAATCCAATGGACATCCCATAAGAATACCATAGAACTCCCATAGCACCCGTTCAGAAATCCCATAGAAATCCTCCAGAAATATCATAGAAACATCATGGGAATCCCGTAGGAATTCCATAGAAATCCAATAGTAATACCATAGAAATACCATAAAAGAAAAAAGCTTTAGCAAAGGAAAAGATAAAGGGATTTGTTTGAAAAAAATCGCCTCAGGAAGCAGCTGGACAATAGTGAACCACCCAAACAAACATACTATTGTGGATCAGGCTTGCTCATGGACTACCCCCTTGAAAAATTGTTTGAATGATGTTTTTAATTGGGTTCTAATAAGGCATCATATATTTTGGGAAATTGGGCATTTCTGGGAATTTCAAATGAAAGAAACTAATTAAGAAAGTTAAGGAAGTAAAAGAAAAAACTTTAGCAAAGGAAAAGGTAAAGGGATTGTTTGAAAAAACATCACCCCAGGAAGCATCTGGACACAATAGTGAACACCCCAAACAAACATACTATTGTGGATCAGGGTTGCTCATGGGCTATCCCCTTGAAAAATTATTTGAATGATGTATTTTAATTGGGTTTTAATAAGGCATCATATATTTTGGGAAATGGACATTTCTGTGAATTTAAGTGAAAGAAACTAATTAAGAAAGTTAAGGAAGTAAAAAAAAAGCTTTAGCAAAGGAAAAGGTAAAGGGATTGTTTGAAAAAAAAACACCCCAGGAAGCATCTGGACACAATAGTGGACCCCGCAAACAAACCATACTATTGTGGATCAGGGTTGCTCATGGACTACCCCCTTGAAACATTGTTTGAGTGAAGGTTTTCATTGGGTATTAATAAGGCATCATATATTTTGGGAAACTGTGCATTTCTGAGAATTGCAAAGGAAAGAAACCAATTGATGAAGAAAGTAAAAGAAAAAACTTTAGCAAAGGAAAAAAAATAAAAGGCATGTTTCAAAACAAATAATTCACCCCGCTTCGCGTGGGGTGGCCGCCCACACCGCAGGTTTATTTCGGTCCGTGAGAGGGGCTAAGGGTGGTTTTCCCCCGTGGGGGCTCCCCAAGCTAAGAATTTTCACTTTCCCCCCCCGTGGGGGCTCCCCAAGCTAGGGAATTTTCACTTTTCCCCCCCGTGGGGGCTCCCCAAGCTAGGGAATTTTCACTTTTCCCCCCCGTGGGGGCTCCCCAAGCTAGGGAATTTTCACTTTTCCCCCCCGTGGGGGCTCCCCAAGCTAGGGAATTTTCACTTTTCCCCCCCGTGGGGGCTCCCCAAGCTAGGGAATTTTCACTTTTCCCCCCCGTGGGGGCTTCCCAAGCTAGGGAATTTTCACTTTTCCCCGCCGTGACAGCTTCCCAAGCTATGGAATTTTCACTTTTCCCTCCCTTGGAGGCTCTCCAAGCTGCGGAATTTCAAATAGCTAGACAACGACGCCTAGATAGTCCCCCAAATCCCGTGTTCTTTGAATGTGTTTCCATGTTTGCAATGGTTTCCTTCAAAGCACGGTACTTTACACTTTTGTCGCCATAAAACCGGTCGAAAACATCATGTTCGACAATGCTTCCAATTCCCTTATCTCCCCAACCGTTGAAAATACCGCTATTTACAGTGTTTTCTTCCATTTTTCCATGTGCCAATGCCGGTAGCCAACTCCAACATATATATACGAAATCCTTCCAAAACATTTTTTTTGACAGTGTTTTTCCAATGTTTCCAGTCAAACAGACGGTAATTTACACGTTTTTTGCAATAAAGGCAGTAAATCCTTCCAAAACATTGCTTTTGACAGTGTTTTTGTAATGTTTCCAGTCAAGCATACGGTAATTTACACGTTTTTTGCTATAACGTCAGTCCAAAACACTTGTTTTTGCAGTGTTTTCAATGCTCTGGCATCGAAAAACCCTGCAAAATCTTGCTATGTACAATGTTTTTTTCATTTTTGGCCGTTTTTCCATTGCCGGAAAGCTACCAAAATGACCCAAAATTCCATTTCAATACCCTCTTGCGCTCAGACACCCAAAAATCCTCGAAAAATGTCGAAAACACCACCGTATTCTGGTCTCGGTGCGAAACCGTTTTTGGGGTCTGGTCTCGGTGCGAAACCGTTTTTGGGCCCCCCCCCCCCAGCTAAAGCTGATATAGCGACTGCTATATTAACAAATGTCATTGAGCATTTAGTGTTGCTGTTGCCCCCCAATAAGCACGCCTTCACCGCCAAAGCGGTGTGGGCGGATTAAAAAAATAACATCAGGAAGCCAGCTGGACACACTAGTGAACCCCTCAAACAAACCATACTATTGTGGATCAGGTTTCAAATGATCAAGTGAAAAGAAACTAAGAAAGTAAAAGAATTACTTTACTTCGTGTGATCTGTGATCCCCATCATAACATTTATACATTTTGTTACTGGCAAATCTTCTGGCATTCTATCTGACATATTTTCTGGCATTCGATCTAGCATTCTATTTGGCATATCTTCTGGCATTCTACCTGGCATATCTTCTGGCATATGTTCTGGCATATCTTCTGGCACACTATCTGGCATATCTTCTGGCATATCTTCTGACATTCTATCTGGCATTCTATCTGGTAAATCTTCTGGCGTTCTATCTGGCAAACATTTTTGCACTTTATCTGGCATACCTTCTGGCATTCTATCTGGCATATCTTCTGGCATTCTATCTGGCATATCTTCTGGCATATCTTCTGGCATATGTTCTGCATATCTTCTGGCACTCTATCTGGCATATCTTCTGACATTCTATCTGGCAAATCTTCTGGCGTTCTATCTGGCAAACATTCTGGCACTTTATCTGGCATACCTTCTGGCATTCTATCTGACATTCCATCTGGCATATCTTTTGGCATTCTATCTGACATGCTATCTGGCGTTCTATCTGGCATATCTTCTGGCATTCTATCTGGTCGTTGAGGTCCAGCGGTGCTCACTGAGCTCGGAAGGTCCCAGGTTGAGGTCCAGCGGTAACCACTGCGCTCAGAACCTTGCAGTTGAGGTCCAGCCTTGCCCACTCAGATCGGAGGCAGTTGAGGTCCAGCGGTGCCCACTGCGCGCGGAAGTTGGCGAAGAGATTGGCGACGAGTTGGCAAGCCGAAGCCGGCAGTTGAGGTCCAGCAGTGCCCACTTGCGCGCGGAAGTTGGCGAAGAGATTGGCGACGAGTTGGCAAGGCCGAAGCCAGCAGTTGAGGACCAGCAGTGCCCACTGCGCGCGGAAGTTGGCAAAGAGATTGGCGAAGAGTTGGCAAGGCCGAAGCCAGCAGTTGAGGTCCAGCAGCGCCCACTGCGCGCGGAAGTTGGCGAAGAGATCGGCGACAAGTTGGCAAGGCGGAAGTGGACGTGGAAGTTGATGCAGACATGGTCGAGGAGAAACTGGAGGAGGAGGAAGAGGAGGAGGCGGAGGAGGAGGAGGATGAGGAGGAGGATGAGGAGGAGGATGAGGAGCACACCTCTGATAAAATCTAACAACCCTCACCTAGCAGGTGGGGAAAAAAGGTTTAAACATATTGGAAAAATGGACACAATAGTGGACCCCCCACACAACAAACACACATTATTTAGGATCAATTTAATTCTAAAAGAATATTGTTTTTAAACAGAAATTATATATATATATATATTTAAAAAATATTTTTAAATAAAAATCAAGAATAAAAGAAAACACAAAAATTAAAATTCATTTTTTTAAAATAAACAATTTTATTTGTTTAAACTAACTTGTAAAAAATGAATCAAATTAAACAAAAAATAGAAATAGTTTAAAACAATTAAAACAAAAATAAAAAAACTGAAAAAACTTACCCCAAAATCCTGTGGACACAATAGTGTACCCCCCCATCATTTCCAAAGGTTCACAATAATTTTGGGGTCTGTGGACACAATAGTGTACCTCCCACTAATCAGGACCCAACATTACACGCCTTGAAGCATAAACATGGACAAGCAAGGGTAGTTTCTACACTCCAAATTCGTGCAGACCAGACATATGGGTCAAAATACCAGATAAATGATGATGAATGTCAAGCTTCCACGTAAACCCCAACAAGTTGCAGGCCATGCGTTACTTCTCAGAAATGCGAGAACAGTATCTTGGCGTGGCGATGGGTCTATCCGGGGAGCAGTGAGAAATCAGAAGCTAAAGAAACCCTTCTTTTTACCACTGAACCTCCCCCAAATAGTAACAATTACCCCAGATTGTTCGTTTTGGGAAATTTCATTTGGTCAATTCGATTCTTGTTTGATCCCTTTAGAAAAGAATGTAAAATCAAGGTCCCATTCGAGGGTTTCACCACCTAATGATTAGATTTCAATCAAGACTTTGATCAATTTTGACATGGAAAATGTTAGTTTCTAAAATTCAGGATTTGATATTATTGTTAGGGGAAAACTCCTCACCCTACTAATACTTACCGCCTAAGAATAACAACTACTCCATGTGCTTGCTATTCCAAGGGAGAGAATGAAAACAATGCGTTTGGAGGCGCATTGGCGTGGCGTGCCATCTCTGGCGCTTCATCCATGTTGATTTCAACATTGGAAGTTGGTTGATGGGTGTACTGGGTTATATCGGCCTCTGGTAATCAAACAAACTTGGCTGGAGCCACGGGCCAAATGGATATATATATATAATAGGAGAATCATATATATATAATATAGTTATATAACATATGTATAGTATATAGTATATAACATATAACATATAATATATAATATTTAATATATGATATATAACCTATAATATATAATATCTAACATATAGCATATAATATAAACTATTTAATATATGTAATATATAGTATCTAACATATAATATATAACATTTAGCATATAACATATAGTATATATTATTTAATATATAACATATAGTATATCAAATGATATTTTATATATAAGATATAAAAAATATATATAACAAATAATTTCTAATATATGATATATATAATATTTACTATACAATATATAATATTTATAATATATTTTTTTAAATAATATTTTATATATAATATATAATATTTGCTATATGATATATAATATATAATAATATAATAATATATATAATATGATATATAAAATATAATATAATATAATAACATATATATATATTATAGGGTCATTTAGGGATATCATGGCAATAGCACTCATAAGTTGGGATGTAACCCCTATAAGATCCTGTAAGTATGGTTATTTATTATATACATGACCACTTAAAACTGAGGTTGTAACCACAAGTAGTGCCCAATCAATTTCTTCTGGTTTCAAACACATTTTTTTGAGCCCAACTAGTATTGAACGTCATCATAACCTATGATGGCAATACCCCGCGAACCAATTAGTTAGACCCCAAGTCATCCAATCATTCGCCGTTGATATGGGGATATATGGGGAGGGGTTTGAATAACTCCGAAAAAAAACGATTGAAATCTGGTGGGTCCCCATCTTCCGACCCTCTGGTGGTCCCAAGACGATAGGTTGATTGCCTTCTTTCACACCTGGAATTGGCCAGGCTTTGGTTCCTTGGCATGAACAAATTGGCAAAAATTTTTGCTGCATGCTTTGGGCACTTTTGGGAACAACTGTAGCTTTACAGTACTGTAAATCCATGTCCTTTGATCGAGGAGCCGGTGATTTCATGGAAATATATGCCGCCCCGCAGATACCCCCAAAACAAGGCATGCTACTAAGGCATGCTAAGGCCTTATGTTCTGCAGGGAAAATAACGCAGAAAAAACGAGTTATGACCCCCCCCTTGGATTACCATACTCATGGGGTGAATTCACACCTCACCTCGCTTATTGCGTTCTTGGAGATGATCCCTATC